GCGCGGGGGGGGCGCAGCGAGCCAGGCAGTCGACAGGGAGCAGTCTCTCTTGCCGATTTTAAAGGGCCGTGGCGGGACTGGAGCCAGCGGGGCGGGGTGGGGCCTGGCTGCGCCTCGCTGCAGCCAGCTACCGGGGACACACGGCGAGAGCAAAGCTGCTGCGGCCCTTTAAAATCGGCAGGGCCACGTCATGCCAGAATCCTGGTGTCTGCCAGCGTCCTGCCCTCTGGATCACGCCCCGCCTCCTCGCGCCAGAGCTGCACACAGGCAGCCCTGTGGCAAGAATTGCTGCACTTCCCCCTCTCTGGTGGTGCTCCTCTTCTCCACCGGCCAGCGGATTGGATGGGGCCGTGCCGCCCGTAGTGCGGGCTTCAGCCAGCCCATCACAATGGCCCACCGAGCCAGTCTGCCCCTGCACTCGCCAGCTGGTAAAATCTACTCACCGCGGGTGAGTGTATTTGTTGAGCCCTGAGCATAACTGTGTCTTTCAGGAGCAGTGTTGTCTTCAAGTCATCATTGTCAAGTCCATGTCGAGTCTCGAGTCTCTAAAGTCACTTTCGAGTCCAGTCCCAAGTCGAGTCTCAAGTCTTAATTTAAAAAATGTCAAATCACTTTTGTACAAGCCATCAATATTGGCATTTTCGGACAATTTTTTCACCGTCAATTTAACAAAATTAGCAAGTCTCAAGTCACAAACAATGAACCTGAGTTGAGTCTCAAGTCAAGTCATCTAGGCAACTTAAGTCGGACTTGAGTTCAAGTTGTGGGACTCGAGTTGTCAACTCTGCTCAGGAGTGTGAAAAATGTATACCTGTGAAGGATGTATTTGCTATACTTATATATACCCTGGAGTAGATAGTGCTAGGTCAATGGAAGAATTCTGTAGACCTAGCTGCTGCTTTTTGGGGAGATGGATTACCTAAGGTGATACAAGAATGCTTCCCATTTTTTTGAAGGTAGTGCCTATGCTGAAAGCTAGTGCAGTGCAGTTGCAGCAGTGTTTCAAGTATTGACAAGTTATAACTCTTAAAGGTCTTTGTGCCAGAGATTAAAAAGGAGAGAACAAGTCACATGTTCTGTTAGTAACAAGACAAACTGATAGAAAATTTGCAACATTTCTGTGTTTCCATAGTGCTTGCATCCATACAACACTGCATAGAAGAAACAAATTAGTTTGAAATCTTGTTTCTGTTTTTTTTCCCAACTTTTACAGCCATATAAACAAAAGGACTACGTACCTTGACCCCAGACTGGCATTTACAGTTGAAGATAATCCAGTGAAGTCTACTTCTAGGCAGAGATATGATGGAAACAGTACTGCAATGGAAATCCTTCAGGGTCGTGATTTGAGTGAAAAAGTGGTTATAATCACTGGAGCGAATTCAGGAATAGGTAGGTCAATGTGACACTTGATAAGACGTAATATTTTACCCACTTAAATACCAGGTAGTTTTGATCTAAAACTGGTTAGATATATTTTAAAAATATACATTCACCCTTCAATTCTGAATTGAATTCACATCCATTATTACTAAGATGAAGTTGATTGGAGAATTTGTTTTCCCCCAAATCATCCTGATCATTCATCTCCTACTGTAGTTTGTTTGTGTGTAGGCATTTTATAGGTAAAGCTTTTTTAAAGTTACTGATCAGTTTTTTACAAATAGGAATTACTTTTGAGGTTTAAGAACGGCTTAATTAATTTCCTTTTCAGAAGAGGGTCCATAGACTTATGTAGTTTGCCCTACTTCTCTTGCCACTCCCTTGGTTTGAGTCCTTGCGAGTATGGTTGTAGTAAAAGTAAACTGTACGGGCAGAATGTCTCTTCTGTTTCTACTGTTCAATTTTTGGAGGAGTCAAAGTTGCGAAGACATGGTTAGATAGGAACAAGGAATCCAACTTGATTCTCTCTGAGGCCAGTGCAGGTAATCCACTGAGCTCTCCAAAATGTTATTTAAAACTTCAGTTGATTTTAGTCCTTTTTTGTAGCCTATATTTTGATTTGTAGAACCATCACAGCAGTAGTGGAAGTATCCTCATGCAAGTTGTCACAATTGTTTTTAAAACAGAAGCAAGTTAAATAAAAAAACTTCAAACATCATACTTTTGAGATGCATGGCCTGTTAACAATTCTTTTGCACAATGAAAGGATTTCTGAACCAAGAGTCAGTCTGAATTTCCTTAGTACAGTTCATCCTTAAATCATTTAAAAGGGAACATTCTCTGATTTTAGTAGTTTTAGGCTACAACAGGCTCTTAACTTTTCTTATTGTCAGCACATGTCTTGGTTAAAGCTGTTTTTGGCAAGTTTTATATCCGTGACTGAATAGCTTTATGTAAACTCTCACAGATTTATCTGGCGTTGCTTGGGTCCTTAACTCAATTTTTTTTCTTTTGGAAAATGAAAGGAAAATGTTACATGCTTTATTGAAATTATTGTGTTTTTGAGGTGTTAATTATTGAACACTTATCCTCATTTGTCCCCCTCCCAAGAGCTTTTTAAATTGAATTCAGTGCTAAATATCTGAGACTGTTTAGCTCAGAAATAACTTTGAACCAGGTGAGGTGGAGAGGGAGGGGGAGGGAGAGAGGGAGAAAAAGAAAAAAATCTAGGTTATCTTGTCAACCTATTGAGTGAAACAGTGTTCCACACTTGTATAGAGATACTGTAGTCCAGGGGTGGGGAATCTAAGGCTAGGGAGCCAGATGTGGCTCTGGTTTACTTGGATCTGGCCCCCGCTGTTCGGGGGGTTCTCCCCCAACATTGGGAAGCCCATGCTGGTGCTCCAGTCTCCTCACCATTCACCTGTGGAACACACAATCTACTAGTCTGAGCGCTCCCAGGCTCTGGTGTGCAAGAGGAATGTGGGAAGTGTGTTTCTCATTCTCAGTCGGGGGGCCACATCAGTGAGGGTTTTTTTTTTTTTTTTTTTTGCTTACTGATTTTTCTGTGGATCAGCAGAATGTGACCCTAAAACGGTTCTCCATCCATGCTGTCGTCAAAGGGTTTGACACTTCATCCAAGTTTGTGATGTCTGTGAAAGGGTAACTATTTTTGAGAAAATGTCTGGATCTGTACAAACAGACTCATGAATGGAGACAGACGGATTCAGATTTCTAAAATATATAGAATCATAGAATACTAGGACTGGAAGGGACCTTGAGAGGTCATCGAGTCTAGTCCCCGGCCCTCATGGCAGGACCAAATACTGTCTAGACCATCCCTGATAGATGTTTATCTAACCTACTCTTAAATATCTCCAGAGATGGAGATTCCACAACCTCCCTGGGCAATTTATTCCAGTGTTTGACCACCCTGACAGTTAGGAAATTTTTCCTAATGTCCAACCGAAACCTCCCTTGCTGCAGTTTAAGCCCATTGCTTCTTGTTCTATCCCCAGAGGCCAAGATGAACAAGTTTTCTCTCTCCTTATGACACCCTTTTAGATACCTGAAAACTGCTATTATGTCCCCCCTCAATCTTCTCTTTTCTAAACTAAACAAACCTAATTCTTTCAGCCTTCCCTCATAGGTCATGTTCTCTAGACCTTTAATCATTCTCGTTGCTCTTCTCTGGACCCTCTCCAATTTCTCCAATATAGATAGTTCCAAAAGGTCAAAAAGAGAGAGGTCAGATAATTCAGGCATTTGTGTCTAATTCATAGACTCCAGGGAATGAAGTCCTTTTCTGCACAGGAGTTTCAGATTACAGAGGATAAACATAGTGGTTGCAGCTCCATAAAAGCTGGAACTCCAAGTCAGGGTGTTTGTTTGTTGGACATCATTCTGGTGAAATCTTGACTCGATTGGAGCCAATGGGTATTGGAGTCAATACTTCAAAGAGGCTAAGATTTCACCTTCAATCTAGGTTTATGTACAGTTGAACCCTAAAAGTTAAGCAACTGAATCTGTATGAGGGCAGTTAAAGAAGTTGTCTTATTTACAGTAGAGGCAAAGTTTCTACAGCGATCACTAGGAGTTGGAGGTGCTCTTCACCTTGGTGAATGCTTAGCCACTCATTTCATTATCCGAGTATTGATTTTTGTGCTTAACCCTAGTATCTCACGTTGGAAAATATTGGATGAAATCTTGGCTCCACGAAAGTCCTTGGAAAAACTCCCACTGATTTTAACAGGGCAAGGATTTCCTCTACTCTGCTTGACTTCTGTACTCATCTGTAAAATGGGCAAAATATCTACAACAGAAGTCTGTTGTGAAGATTACAGAATACTTGTGTGGTAGGGGTTAAATATCAGGTAATTGAATAGCTGTGTAACCACATGAAATCTTATTGGTTACATGACTATTCAATAGTCTCTGGGGGTGAAGCCGGCAGCCAGTCCCCCCCAGACCCACTCCCAGGGAGCTCCTCTCCCCACTACTCTGCACTGCTGCGTCTGTATCAGAGGCAGCAGCAAGGGGAGACACTTTAAAAACCAGTTCCCCACACAGACCGGCTGCCTGCTGCCCCACGCTGCTGCCTTTGCCGGGGTCCGAGCTTCCCACAGACAGAAGCTGCTGCGGGCGGTGTAGGGGACGAGATTGGTGTAGGCTGCTGCCAAGCAGCCTCTGTACACAGCAGCTGTGGACAGAGGCTGATCCATCAGCAGCCCCTGTCGGTGGGGGATCTGGGACCCCCCCCCCACCTGGACAGGGGCTGTTGCCAGGGACCAGCCTCTGTCTGTGCTGAGCCCAGGCTTGCCATAGACGGAGGCAGCAGTGCAGTGGAGTTAGGGTGGGACATACGGCACTGCTTTTATGCTAGTTCTCTCCCCAACACCAGCTCCTGCTCCTCTCCCCTTGCTGCCTCTGATATGTAGGTAGCAAGGGGGAGGAATGTGTGTAGTCGACAAGATTAGCCAATAAGCCTAACTAATTGATTAGTTGATGGAATTTCCATTGACTACTCAATTAGTTAACAAGGAGGGTGCTCGCTCCCCTTCTGTGCCTTTGCTTTGAAATGTACAAGAGCTGGCCATGGCTCTTGTACATTTCAAAGGGAGCGGCACAGCAGTCGGGACTCAGCGCGAGCAGGAAGTGCGCCGTTTCCCATGCTGCCCCTCTGCCTCCCTGTGGAGACAGTGCTGGGGGGAACCAGCTCCTGCTCCCCACCCTCTTTGGTGCCTCTGATACAGAGGCAGCAAGGGGGTGTGAAGTGACTAGTGAAGTACAGGAAATCCCTGAGATACGACCGCCCGAGTTGTGGAACCCCCCCACCCCCGCACTTACAGCCAGTTTTGTAAGTGAAGGGGCTGAAAACCCCCGATTTACGTCCTCAGCCTGCATTTACAATGGCGCACGACGCCTATCGTAAATGAGGGTTCGAGTTATGACACCCCCGACTTGCAACCCTTCCCCAGGAACTGATTGTGTTGCAAGTCGGGGGCCACCTGTAGTGACTCTACCTGATAAAGCTAGGCTTATCAGGTAGTCAACTAGTCATTTACATCCCTAGCTAGTAAATATCAAACTTTTTTCTTTCTTTAACTTTACAGATCTTGTCTAACCATATGATAAAGATTCTTTAGATCTTGTTTTGTTTTTTAGCCAGGACTGAAATTTCATACTCTGAATATTGCATCAGAAAAATATTGTGTGCTACAACACTATTATGATCAATTTTATTCTCTGCTATGAATGGTAATGGTAATAGGTTAACCCATCTATTTTCACAAACTGTGTTCCTGCAGTCTTACTGACACTCAAAGTAGTTCTTTTAAAGTAAGTGAGATTGCTGGCAATATATTAAGGGCATATCTAGACTACACTAGACTTTCGAAAGAGGATATGAAAATTCCGTGCAAATTTTTCCTTAAAAAATGAGTTTTACGCGGCTTGCTGACAAAACCGCGTCTTAATTACTTTCACTTTCCTGCAGAATTTGCATATCCTCTTTCGAAAGTCTTGCGTAGTCTAGATACGCCCTAAGTGAGTGGCAAATGCATTAAGTATTACCCTGGTTTGATTTCAAAGGAAGAGTCATTTAATTTGTATTTTGCCAATACTTTCATACAAATAAAAATAATTCTTTAACATTTTTTCCACTAGAGGGCTGTATTGTCATTTGTAAATATTAAACAAAAGAACTTTTTATATTTTTCTCTGTGGTTTTTGTTAAATACTTTTGAATTTTTGTAATGTATATTATGTGTTTTTAATTATCAATGCTGAAGTTCAAAGTGTGAAGTATGTTAGCTATTTCATTGAGTTCTAGTCTATAAGAAGATGCAATATTTTCAACTTCGCAGTCTGTTTTGCCCAGTTACACAATGTGCATATTTGTAGCAGTATTTGTTTTTAGTATCAGGGAGACACATATATTTGAGTGTGGTTTATATATTTGATGGAAGCTGAATACACAAATATTACTCTAAATTATGTTACATCTAAGG